ATAATGTGCGTGTTGTGTATAATGTGTATGTATAAATGGTGCGTTGTGTATAATGTGTGTGTTTGTGTATAATGTGTGTTGTGTATAATGTATATTGTGTATAATATGTGTGTTGTGTATAATGTGTGTGTTGTGTATAATGTGTGTGTTGTGTATAATGTGTGTGTATATATGATATGTGTGTTGTGTATAATGTGTGCGTATATATGATTTGTGTGTTTGTGTCAATGTGTTTCTAATATAAGTCAATACAACATACACAACACATACAACAGATCACTTTTAAATTACTGGATTTTATTTATTGTTCTTTTGTTTGTTGATTTTTTTCATTTTTTTTATTTTTTTTTATTTTTATTTTAATATGAAATAATATTATATTAATTGGCAACGTCGGTTAAATGACGATGATTAATTAATAGACGACATTTTTATGATAATTGAATCATATCATGATTTGTTATAATATTAATTTGATTGATGAAAGAATAATAATATATTGTTTAAATAGTATGATAGTTTTATGATAATTCCTCTAACTTTAATTAGAATAATTATGAAATGGTGTAATATATTTTTATGTCTCATTTGAAGACAGATATGTTATCATTCAAAATGTTCTAATTTTATTTCAACACTTTTATATTTTATATAATTATTACAGATATTATTCTATTGAAAGTGTTTGTTTTTTCTTTTATTAATAGATTCAAATTGTATTATCACATTTTATAACAAAATTAGAATTATAAAGGATCCATTAACTACTTCAAAATATTCCTAACAAGTAATACTTATCAAAACTATTCAAAAATTCTGATGTTTCAATAAGATTCAATTTATACAATCAAATCTTACAACAAAAACTAAAATTGTAAAGGTTTCAACTACTTCAAAATGAGATCTTTATACTAATCAATCAATGATATTTTTATAAATGAAATAATTTATTAATAACAATTGAAACCTATTAACATTATTTAAATATTCTTTCAATAGGTCCAATGTATACAATCAAATTTTATAAAAATAAAACTGGGGTTGTAAAGGGTTAAACTACTTCAAAATGAGATCTTCATACTAATCAATCAATGATATTTCTATATATAAGAAAATATAATAACAATTCTAACCTATCATCACTATTAAAGTTTCTTATCTTTCAATAAAGTACAATTTATACAATCAAATCTTACAACAACAACAACAAAAACTAAAATTGTTTTTCAAAAAATGTTTCAATTACGTATTTAAAAATTCTATCAGTATACTAATTAATCAATAAAATAATATTGCGATTATAAATTGAGATATAAACTATCCTATCTTTCAAGTTGAATGAAACTGCACACAGTGTGTAACATTTGATTAAAATCGGTTCAGTAGTTTAGGAGTCCATTGCGGACAAACAAACGTGACACGTAATTTATGTATATTAAAGAAAGAAAGAAAGAAGAAGATATACCAAATAAAAAATATTCTTAACAAGTAAAACTTATCAACACTATCATGTTGATAGATAAGCTAAGGTTTAATTTATAAAATCAAATTTTATAACAAAATTGGAATGTTAAAGGGATTCAATTACTTTCAAATGACATCTTTATACTAATCAATTAATGATATTTCTATATATAAGAAAATATATGTTAATAACAATTGGAACCTATCAACACTATTTAAATATTCTTTCAATAGGCCCAATGTATTCGATCAAATCTAACCAAGGAAAAAACTAAAATTGTAAATGTTCAATTACATATCTAAAAATTCGATCAGTACACTAATCAATCAAAGATATTTTTACATACAAAAAAAAAAAACAGTATAATTCTTAACAATTATAATAAAACCATTTGAAAACTAACAAAACATTGAATTAACGAATAAAATGGTGTTCAAATATGAAACATAACAATAGTAATAATGAAAAATGAATGAACATATACTAACCGACCGCACCAAGTGGCCTCCCACGAAGTTTTTCAGCTTCGATGTAATGTGCCTTCAACCAAAGTGCCTGAAGTTTTGGATGATTGTGTGCACTGAACGTATTGCTCTCTAAAATCTTGTAGAGTTCTTTGAATTGGCCACGATGAAATGCGACTATTGCTTTAGCCTTTAGTACGCTCTCGTTACGGTGTAATCTCGTACATGCCGGTAAAGACCATAGAAATCTTCCAAGCCTTTCCACGGAGCCTGCTTGCTGTAGAACCTGAACATTCGACACCATCGCCTTGAAGACGATAGACAGGGAGGGCACGCTGTTAGTCGGCAGAACTCTCATCCCGTTCTCCTCTTATTTCTATTACAATTCTAATTTGTTTCTGTTCTTTGTTTACTAATTTTCCCTTTTCCTATTTATTTTTATTTTTATTTTTGTTTTTGTTTGTATGTATCTTTTTCATTTCTATTTAACACGTTGAACGCCACTACGTCAGTCGTCGGTGAGTGACAATAGACTTTCCGTTTAAGCCACGTCAGTCATCGATGGCTGACATTAGACTTTCCGTTTAGGTCACGTCAGTCATCGGTGAGTGACACTAGACTTTC